AGGGGGCCTGAAGAAAACTGTAGAAGGTCGCCAATTACTTTGAAGCCTCAAGCTTTACATTTTAAAATCCCTACAAATTTTATATTCTACTCCACAATGAATCTATGCTCGTTTCAGTACAGAGATGACAAAAATTCCCAACTCTTCCCTCAGCCTATTTCCTTCCTAAATCTGTTAAAGTTTATTGATATTACTATGTGGTTCAGAGTTCTCACCTCACATAGTCTGAGTTCAAAAAGTACAGATATAGGGAATACGGAACCAATCTCTCAAAGTATCTAGGTTTGAGGCTTGCTTTAAATAAAAATATCAAAAAATCTGTGGGCCATAGAGCTAGCAATAACTCAGAGATGAGCTGAGGGTCTAGCTCAGTGGGAGAGCCCTTGCCTAGCATGCTTGAGGCCCTGGGTTTTAACTCCAGCATCACTACCACCACCACCACCACCACCACCACAATAAAAAACCCTGAGAGATAAAAATTATCTTTTTACCATCCAATGTGCTAATGTTTTACATGCCTAATTTGGTCACTTCAAAAATAAATGACCCCCCAACAGTATTTGTTCTTTTTTGGTATCTCTCCTGAGTACATGAAGAGTCAAGATGTCTAATTAATAAGTTCAGATTGATCACTGTGGATAGAGACTCCAAAAGTGCTTGATTATCTTAAAAATTATTGCCTATCAGCTGGAATTTAATAGATCAAGAGAACTATTAGTGTTAGAAATTACTTTAAGTATTTTTTAATTACTTAAAACTAGGAAACATCTCAAACTAAAAACCCCAATAGTTGAAGTGATTGCTCTGTGGTTAACTGAATCAGTACTGTCAAAATCATGTTAAGGAATAATGCCCCCGCCCCCACTTGTGTGGGGGAGGTACTAGTGATTCAACCCACATGGTAAGCAAGCACTGTGCCACTGAGCTGCAGCCCCAGTCTGGTAACGTCCACTCCCCCCCACCCCCTTGTACGGAGGTTGAACCCAGGGGTGCTTAGCCACTGAGCAACATCCGCAGCACCACCACCTTCCCCCTTTTAAAAAATATTTTATTTAGAGACAGGGTCTCTGAGTTGCTTAGGACTTCACTATGTGGCTGAGGCTGGCTTTGAACTTGCGATTCTCCAGCCTCAGCCTCCCAAGCCGCTCCGTTCCATCACTGCAAAAAAAGATGATTACAGGCTGGAATTACAGGCGTGCACCACCTCACCCAGCTGGTAACGTTCAAGTATTCTGTAAAGTAATTTGCTACCCTAATGAAAGTGTTTCAAAGGACATTCCGATCATTGATTATTAAATAGTTCATACAGAAACACCACCTTAAAGCAAGGAACAGCAGACAACCAGACTAGTGCATGATTCGACTCACCATGCAGCGTCAAATACTCCACGAGGCTCCACACTACAGTGGGAACGCCATTCTCCATGAGCCCCTGCCGCTGGAGCTCCTGGAGACTGACTCCAAATAACTTCTTACAGGTAGGATTCTTCTCTTCACTCAGTGGCACTGCCACTATCTTTTTCATATCTTCTTTCAGCCGAACTGCTGCTTTACTTTGCTTAAAAGAGCAAAAGAAAAAAGAGCAGTCAGACATAGTGACCACAGGAGGTTGCATGGTTACAACCGAAACATGGGATTAAAACACAAGTGTCTGGAGATGACTAGTCGTGATCTTCACTTAAATCAAAATCTCCAACTTCTCTCCTATGTTGCTCAGTGTTACGAATTGGAGCACACTGATCTAATGGTTAAAAGGAATGAAAAATAATGAAACACCTAAAACCACAACTTAAGCGTAGCTAAGAGAGGAAGCAATACATGACAGTATCCAAGATATATTCCTATAGTAACCACAGGGTGTGGCTCAGAAGTACCTGGTTAACAGGAGGATAAAACATTTGTAAGATCACTAACACCCCCGCCCCTGAAGATCCTGAGATAGTGAGATGTA